CTCCGCAAGCCACGGCAGGGCCCGGCATGTGCCGCGGCCGGTTGGGCTGGCCGTGCCGGCCCGGCCGCTTCCCCCGGCCTCGCCGAGCGGTTGGGCGGGTCCTGCCACGCCCCGACACCCGCCGGCCTCGCACGCGCACACGAGCGTGCAAGGGCAGGTGTGCGCCGGCGTGCCCAAGAGGGCTCCAGCTCAATGCGTATGTTGGGGGGGACGCACACACACACACACACGTGTGTGGCTGCCCGGGTGTGAGGGTGCCCGAGTGTGTGTGAGCACGCAGGGGTGTGCACAAGCGTCTGTAAGTGTGTCCTGGTGTGTTGGAGCGTGCCTGCGCGTGTGTGAGAGTACACAAGTGTGCACGAGTGTGTCTGTGCCGGTGTAAGGATGCCCCAATGTACATGAGCATGTCCAAGTGTGCAGGAGTGTGCACAATGGTGTCCAGGGACGTGCAAGCGTGCCTAAGCATGGTGAGCACACCCAAGCATGCATGAGTGTGCACAATTGTGTGTGAGCACGTCTAAGCACACATGAGAGTGTCCAGGAGTGCACAGGCGTGTATAAGCATGTACAAGTGTGCTTGAGCGTGCTGGAGTGTGCCCAAGCGTGTATGTGTGTGTGCAAGCATGTGCACGTCCGCATGTGTACAAGTGTGCCTAACCGTGCCCAAGCGTGTTCAAGTGTGCATGAACATGCTGAAGCGAGTGTGTACGTGTGTGAGCAAATCCAAGCACACGTGAGCGTGCAGAATCTCGCCTGAGTGATCATGAGCGTGTGTGAGTGTGTCCAAGTGTGCGTGCATGTATGTGAGTGCACCCAAACACGCATGGGTGTGTGCAAACACAAGTGTGTCCAAGTATGCCAAAGGGTGCACAAGCGTGCCCAAGTGTTCTTGCACATACGTGAGTGCTAGCACAAGTGTGTGCAGGCACAATGTGCCCAAGAGTGCGGGAGTGTGCACAAGTGTGCAGAAGTGTTCCTGCACATACGTGAGTGCCAGCGTGTGTGTGTGTGCAAGCATGAGTGTGCCCAAATGTATGTAAGTGTGCCTGAAGAACTGCAGGGACAGGTGCGAGCACAAGTGTGCCCAAGCATGCTGAGTGTGCACAAGTGTTCTTGCACGTGTATGAGAGCCAGCATGAGTGTGTACAGACACAAGTGTGCCCACACATGCCTGCATGTATGTGAGTGTACCCAAGCCTGCACGAGTGTGTGCAAGAACAGGTGTGTGGGAGCGTGCCCAGGTGTTCTTGCACACGTATGAGAGCCATCACGAGTGTGTGCGGGCACGGTGTGCCCGAGCGTGCGGGAAGCACCGTGTGAGTGTGCGGTGAGTGTGCGGTGCCACCCCTGGTGCCGTGGGTTGGGTGTGTGGTGCCAGGGTGTGGGTGCCGTGTGTTGGGTGCCTGGTGCTGTGGGTGCCACGGGTGCCCGGTGCCATGGGTTGGATGCCATCGTGTGGGTACCTGGTGCCACGGGTGCCCAGTGCCATCGCTGGTGCCACACTGTGGGTGCCCTGGGTCAGGTGCACGGTGCCGTGGTGTGGGTACCATGGGTTGGGTGCCCAGTGCCATGGGTTGGGTGCGCACTGCCATGGTGTGGGTGCCATGGGTTGGGTGCCAGGTGCCCAGTGCCATGGGTCAAGTGCCATGGGTTGGGTGCTATGGTGCCACCACTGGTGCCATGTGTTGGGTGTCTGGTGCCACGGTGTAGGTGCCTGGTGCCACAGTGTGGGTGCCATGGGTCAAGTGCCTGATGCCATGGTGTGGGTGCCATAGGTTGGGTGCCTGGTGCCATGGGTCAGGTGCCCTGTGCCATGGTGTAGATGCCATGGGTTGGGTGCCTGGTGCCACGGTGTAGGTGCCATGGGTCAGATGCCCAGTGCTGTGGGTTGGGTGTCATGATGTGGGTGCCTGGTGGTATGGGTTGGGTGCCATGGGTTGGGTGCCCAGTGCCATGGTGTAGGTGTCCTGGGTCAGGTGCCCAGTGCCATGGGTCAGGTGCCACGGTGTGGTGCCTGGTGCCATGAGTTGGGTGCCCGGTGCCACAGTGTGGGTGCCATGGGTCAACTGCCCAGTGCCATGGTGTGGGTGCCATGGGTTGGATGCCCAGTGCCATGGGTTGGGTGCCCGATGCCATGGTGTGGGTGCCATGGGTTGGGTGCCCGGTGCCACAGTGTGGGTGCCATGGGTCAACTGCCCTGTGCCATGGTGTGGGTGCCATGGGTCAGGTGCTCAGTGCCATGGTGTAGGTGTCCTGCATCAGGTGCCACAGTGTGGTGGGTGCCATGGGTTGGGTGCCCAGTGCCAGGGGTTGGGTGCCTCGGTGTGGGTGCCCAGTGCCATGGGTTGGGTGCCCACTGCCATGGTGTGTGTGCCATGGTTCGGGTGCCCTGTGACACGATGTAGGTGCCATGGGTCAGGTGCCGGGTGCCTGGTGCCATGAGTTGGGTGCCCGGTGCCACAGTGTGGGTGCCATGGGTCAACTGCCCAGTGCCATGGTGTGGGTGCCATGGGTTGGATGCCCAGTGCCATGGGTTGGGTGCCCGATGCCATGGTGTGGGTTCCATGGGTTGGATGTCCTGTGACACGATGTAGGTGCCATGGGTCAGGTGCCATGGGTCGGGTGCCCGGTGCCACGGTGTGTGTGTGTGTGTGTGTGCCCGCAGGCGCCATGGCAGGCGTGGTGGAGATGGAGCGCAGCGTGACGGCGGTGCTGGGCCAGGACGTGGTGCTGCCCTGCCGGTACCGGGCGCAGGAGCGGGAGCAGGTGGAGCAGGTGACGTGGCTGAAGCGCGGCCCCGACGGGCACAGCGCCGAGGTGGCCGTGCTCCACCGGCAGCACGGGCAGCACGTGCAGGAGCGCTACGCCGGGCGGGTGCTGCGCCAGGCCGACGGGGCGCTGGAGGACGGGGCCATCGTCCTGCGCAACGCCGTGCAGGGCGACGAGGGCGACTACGAGTGTCACCTCATCACCTTCCCCTTGGGCAGCTTCGAGGGGCACCTCACCCTCAAGGTGCTGGGTGAGTGCCCGGGCGTGGGGCGGTGGCCGTGGGGATGGGGTGGTGGGCATGGGCAGTGGGACATGGGGATGGGGTGGTGGGCATGGGGCAATGGGATGTGGCTGTAGGGTGATGGCCATGGGGTGGTGGGCAACGGGCCACGGGGATGGGGTGGTGGGCATGGGGCAATGGGACATGGCCATGGCACAATGGCCGTGGGGTGGTGGGCAGTGGGCTATGGGGATGGGGTGGTGGGCATGGGGCAGTGGGACATGGGGATGGGGTGGTGGGCATGGGACAATGGGACACTGCCCACTGTGGTTGGGCAATGGGGAGGTGGGCATGGGGTGGTGGGCAATGGGCCATGAGGATGGGGCAGTGGGTATAGGATGATGAGGATGGGGTGATGGGATGATGGCCATGGGGTGCTGGGCACAGGGGAGTGGGCAACGGGCCATGAGGATGGGATGGTGGGCATGGGGTGATGGGTATGGGACATTGGGGTGGTGGGCATGGGGTGATGGGCATAGGGTGATGGGCATGGGGCAGTGGGCATGGGATGGTGGGCAATGGGCATGGGGCATAGGGCTGGTGGGCACATGGCAGTGGGCATGGGATGAAGGTCATGGGGTGATGGGCACGGGGTGATGGGTTGGTGGGCAACGGTGGTGGGACAGTGGGCAACGGGTAACGGGCACGGGGCAATGGGTGAAGGGCAGTGGGCAAGTGGTGGTGGGTGATGGGCACGGGACAACAGTGATGGGGTGGTGGGGAATGAGCCCCGGGGACAGGCGGGTCTGGGGGGGCACCGGAGCGGCAGAGCCCGGCAGTGGGTCTGACATTGGTGCCCCCCAACCCCAGTGCCGCCGCTGCCCATCCTGAACCCGGGGCCGCCGCTGGAGGAGGGTCAGGGCCGGACGCTGGCGGCGTCCTGCACGGCGGAGGGCAACCCGGTGCCCTCGGTGCGCTGGGAGACGGAGGTGCGGGGCACCAACGCCACCCGCCGCTCGGC